TGTTTAGTATGGTATATTACCTGAGAACAACAATGTTTAGTAAGGTATATTTTACCTGAGAACAACAATGTTTAGTATGGTATATTACCTGAGAACAACAATGTTTAGTATGGTATATTATCTGAGAACAGCAATGTTTAGTATGATATATTACCTGAGAACAACAATGTTTAGTATGGTATATTACCTGAGAACAACAATGTTTAGTATGGTATATTACCTGAGAACAACAATGTTTAGTAAGGTATATTTTACCTGAGAACAACAATGTTTAGTATGGTACATTACCTGAGAACAACAATGTTTAGTATGGTATATTACCTGAGAACAACAACATTTAGTATGACTTATCTTAGCTGAGGAACAACAATGTTTAACATGTCATATCTTACCTGAGGAACAACAATGTTTAACATGTCATATCTTACCTGAGAACAACAATGTTTAGTATGGTATATTTTACCTGAGAACAACAATGTTTAACATGTCATATCTTACCTGAGAACAACAATGTTTAGTATGGTATATTTTACCTGAGAACAACAATGTTTAGTATGGTATATTTTACCTGAGAACAACAATGTTTAGTATGGTATATTTTACCTGAGAACAACAATGCAACAATGTTTAGTAAGGTATATTTTACCTGAGAACAACAATGTTTAGTATAACTTATAATACCTGAGAACAACAATGTTTAACATGTCATATCTTACCTGAGAACAACAATGTTTAACATGTCATATCTTACCTGAGGAACAACAATGTTTAACATGTCATATCTTACCTGAGGAACAACAATGTTTAACATGTCATATCTTACCTGAGGATACGTTCATGAAGAACGTAATATTTCTGTCTAATGGAAATACGTTATGGCGTGGTCCAAACCCTGGAATGTATTCCATTCCTCCGAACGGAATAAGTGGATTATGTAAAGCGTTTACGGTAAGGTTGATTATATACTCGGCGATCTCCACCTGCCCATTATATTAAAACATGGCAAATGAAATAACAGAAACTCTCATCAAATATGTTGATATCTAGTTTATTTGAGGACAATTGTTAATATCTATAGCTTGATATGGACAACTGATGAAAGCTAGTTTGTTTCTTGACAAAAGTTTATATTAAGTTTGTTTGTGAACAACAAATGACAGCTAGTTTGTTTCTTGACAAAAGTTTATATTAAGTTTGTTTGTGGACAACTGATGACAGCTAGTTTGTTTCTTGACAAAAGTTTATATTAAGTTTGTTTGTGGACAACCGATGACAGCTAGTTTGTTTCTCGACAAAAGTTTATATTAAGTTTGTTTGTGGACAACTGTTGACAGGTAGTTTGTTTCTTGACAAAAGTTTATATTAAGTTTGTTTGTGAACAACAAATGACAGCTAGTTTGTTTCTTGACAAAAAGTTTATATTAAGTTTGTTTTTGGACAACCGATGACAGGTAGTTTGTATAAGGAAGACTTTTGATATTTATAGTAGTTTCATGAACAACGATTGATATTTAGTTTGTTTGTGAAGAACTTTTAATGTCTACTGTTTATTTGCGAAGAATTGTTGATATATATATAAATTGTTTGTCTAGAATTTGTGGACAACGTTTATCGTCTGTACTCGTTTTATGGATAGCTGTTGATATATAGTTTTAATTAGTTTTTGGAAAACTGTTGTCCTGTTTTTGGACATCTGTTGGTATCATCGAATACCTTTCAAATTTGCAATAGAATATTAATCGAATTTCTCACGTGAGCTGCTATTGTTGACCGGCTTGATGTGTGGAAACTCAGGTCAGATTGTTCCTGAGACATCTCATTTAAATATACAGAACTACTAGAAATAACTTCAGTCCATTACATTACTAACCGGGCACTGGTAACGAATTGGTCGTTACCAGTGAAAGTGGGTTTTCTCGGGGTACTCCCGTTTCCCCCACATTAAATTCTCGGCATAGGATTTTTAGATCCCCGCCGCCCTGATGGACCATCTGTCCGACATCGGCCGTTTAGTTTAGTTTGCTCTTCACTTTTTATTTATTTATTTTTATTTTGGACCGTTACTCTCACGTTTACCTTTTTAAACTTACACACCTTGTCTGCATTAATTTCCTGTTTTCTCAAGTTAAGCCCATATTCCTAGACCACGCGCGGGATGAAGGAGGATTGTTTAATCTTCGAGCACCCTTGATTAATAATTATTTCTTAGGATATAATTATTTTTGAATCAAAATAACTGCCAAGAACAACAACAACATTAAAACGTCATTAATTCCTACATGGACAATCTCGCTGTAGTTAATTTACAAAATAAAACAGGCTTAAACATTAGAATATGTGCAATATACGTGAGAAAAAGTAAGTGAGGAAGGCAAAGTGAAGTCCAGTGATGGGGACTGGTTAGTTCCTGAATGAATTTCGGAGTCTCCTGATGTTCGCCAAGGTTTTATTATGGGACCGGTTCCAGGCAGGTGGTAAAGGCGTGGAGTCCTCGGTGTCGTTGGTGAGTGGGCGGAAGGCAACTCGTATTGGTTTGAAACTATATTTCGCATTTCTTGCCTCAAATCTTAACAAAACAAATGGGAATGGCCTGAGGAGTGAATCAGGTGACTGTCCAAAATACCGGCAATCAGATCATTTGCACGAATTTTTATTTTTTATTTTTTTATTTGCGAGTTATGGGGGCGCCATCAGCAGATGGTATGCCCCCAAATTCCTTTGTACGAATCTTTCCTGATATAGTTTATCTTTAGAACACGAGCAATTAGTACGTCTGAAAGTAACTATGGCTCTGATTGGCTAACCAATCAGCGTCACCTTGTGTTCTACAATAGAATTAATAAATGTACTACCCCTGTGATGTAGAAATTGTTCTACAAACTACTTTTTCACTTGACATAAATCATTATTTTTGTGACATCTTGCCTTAATGACACAATTTTTCAATTAACATTTCTATGAAGCTGTAAGTGAAAGGAAAGAAGAATGTGATATGTCAACTACACTATATTCGCCATATCAAGAGCTAACCAGGCCTTTCGCAATACTAGGATTTTCAACAAAACTTGCATCAAATTTTGCGGCTCAAGTTATAATAGTCGTTAAATTTGATTATTACTAGTTATATTTGTGTAGCGATGATTGAAGCAAAACTTCGAAATAATTAATAATAAGTCTCCGGAATATTGATTAATTAGCCGCGTCCGAGTAAATAAAATTTGTAGAAGTTATTTAATTTTGCTATAAAAATGTGAAAGAGAAACTATCAGTGAATAATGGACAAAAATGAAAAATTTTTTGTAATAATTTGGCGTTACCTGTTGCAATAAAAAATTAAATTTCTGTAAAATAACATAACGATATATGTGATATTCCCAATTGGTATTAAATGAAAGTGTACGTAAATCAAGTGAGTAAAGTCATTTCATTAAACCACTTTTAGTATTATGAATAGCTTTATTATGTTGATTGGTGTAAATTCTTTTTAACCAGTTTTCAGTTGGTATTAAGTGATTTATTAAAACAGTCTTCTCTTTACGGACTAGGGATTTTTATCTGTTACTAAAATCCTCTGTCCTTAAACTGAGGAGGCATTTAATTCAATTACAAACTAAACTTTTAGCCAATTAAATTGATTAATGTTACTTTTCATTGTCTAACTTAAGTTGATTGAAACATTTAATGGAGACCGAAAGAAACTAATACTAACGCAAAAGCCGCGTATCTGCTTTTCAAACCTCTGATGGTCTATGTACCATAATATCATGAACCTAGCCAAGTATCTAAAACCAATCTGGCGTTAACATTATTTGAATTTTCAAACATTCCAAAATTATCAGTTAAAAAATAAAGTTGAAAAACTAAAATACAAGTTCGTGGAAAGGATTTTTTTGGGGGGCGGGGGTGAGAAATCATATTACTTTATGGACCGTTATAGTCTTATTCAACTCAACTTTAAATACTCTAAGTAAGACTACTAAAAATACAACAGTGATATTCATGATTAAAACTATATCACGTGAACTACATTTGTTTTTTTTTCTTTTCAATATTCATCTTAATGGTTTCTAATGCTTAGCTAGTTTTCGGCGTTTAAACCATGGGGACGGGGGGGGGGGCGAGACATGCATCATAATTCATTAGCGTTTCCAAATACTGTTCAGCTATCCAGGCTTTAACTTCAAATAACTTATAAATTATTTTTTGAAACCTTTTGTGCCTACATCTGATTTAAATTGTATCAATACTAAAATATGTTTTGGAAAATTACATGTGATTTTATTCATACTGAAACGACTTAATTTACAAAGATTTGTCCATATTTAAACTATTAAAATCAAACTATTTTGGAGATTTAACGTGTGCTTTTCCTTCTTTATGATTGTAATTTATTTGAAGAGAACTTGTATGGCCAACGAACCTTTGTTACTGGTGCTTGGGCCTCTACTTTTTTCTTGTTTATATCAGTGGTATTGAGAGAGAAGTTAATTAGGAAAACTTGCGGACGATATTAAATTCTTAGGTATTTTTAAATGTATTAAGAATGTTGAGGCATTTCAGAATGACTATAATCAAATGATTTATTGAAAAAAAAATGTTTGGCATATGATCTTTAACTATAGTAAATGGTTTCGTAATTTGGATAACATTATTTTTATAAGTCAGAATTTACTCGGTTGTGTGACTGGAGAAAATGATCTTTGCATAGGGGTGGGTAAGTGAGTCAAATCATTGTAGAAGTGCTCCGCAGCTAGTTGTAAATCTAATATAATTTGAGGGTGTATATTTGTAGACATATTGATTAAGGCAAAAAAACAAAAGAAGGGGTAATTAGTTCTTTGTACAAAATGCTAGTTAGCTCTAACTTGAAATACTGTGTATAATTTTGGTCTCCTTATCTCAAAGATATTCCCTTATTGGAAAGGGTTCATAAGTGGACTACTAGGATGATGCCGGGGATGAAAAGGTTATGTAGGAATAGGTTAATATCTCTCGACTTTATTTTCTCAAGAGAAAATAAGAGACGAACTTATTGAAGTCCACAAAATTATGTAGGATGATCGGTAGAAAAGGATCTCCGATTTATTTGTTATTTTGACGATAATATGACGGGGGAAGACAAATTTAAGACTTGAAATCGACAAGCTAGGCTTCATGCAAGTTTTATTTTTCTAAAAGTAATTGGCTTATGAAATATGTTGCCGTTGGCAGTAGCGGAGGTCAGCACTAAAGAGTGGAATCAGTGTAATACCGAAAAAGTAAAGGGTAGTCTTCAATTTTAGCTTCTCTCAAGAGCGTATCTGCATGGACAGCCATAAAGAACCAAATTAGCCCTCGTATGTTGTTCCAAGCTTGTAAAGAAGAAACCAGATTACTTTTCATGTCTTGTATGAGCTGTGTCAGTGTATTGAATTATTCCAGACTCATTTTAATGGTTTAATGACTTTTACTCGTAGAACCTTATCTGTAGCTTTTATTTTCTGATTTCATTAGCCTTCGACTTTTTTCTCTTGTTATATTTTGTGACATTTTAAGGAAAAGTTTTTGAGATCATTGTTTATGTGATTCGTATTTAATATTAATCGCTTTTCTTTAAATTTTAAATGGTTAAGTCTGAATATAATGATTATACTTAATTTTTCGTAATTTTATCTAAAAGTGTTTTGTATCGATTTATTCAAATTGTCATATTTATATTAGTATTAGAAACTTAAACCTTTTGGTCTCATCTTGGAACGTGTTTGGTATTTTCTGTTACATATTTTACTTGAATTGCAACGCTGCTGACGTGTTATACGCCACGTTAGGCACTAACCAAGGAATTAACTTTGTTATTACTTAATAATAGTTTCTTAACATGAAAGTGTGGACAGAACCTTTAAAAAACCTATAAAATTGAGTACAGCTGTTTTGAAACGAAGCGAAAACCATGGTAAGTGTATATAATCATTAGTTTTGATTTATTGCAGCTAAATAGTAATATTACTAATGAGAATATTATTGGAAGATCTTGCTACTACTAATAGTATTACTGAGTAGTAGTATTATAGCTGAGAACTGTGTATACTGCTATACAAACTCGCAATCCTACCAAGTAGGATGTTAAGGTTTATATTTGATGCAGTAAGCTTAATACTGTTGTTTTAATCATGCTTCGCTAGCAAAAGACGTTCTCACAACTACTACTGACTTAATGCTACATTCTTATTTATAATTTAGTATCTGGACTGCTACAGTACCAGTAGGTTAGGCCTAAACTAAGAGGGTAAAGGTTAAAGTGTTAAGTTTAAACATGTTAGAATGCGGCGAATAATCCAGTTTATACCTGAAACCCAAAGCTGAAGATGAATTTCAGCGATTTTTTCAGAAATTAATTTATAGTTCTGTGGTTACACTAATACCAAAGTTAGTAAATAGTGAAACTGATATGCAACACATCTTAAAATGGGGACAACAGAATTAACTACACCACTTGATTTTCAACTAAAAGTAAAACTTGCACACAGCTGTAATAGTATAGTGATTAATAAATGATTTTTTTTTATGTATTATTCATGTCATCTAACAACTACATGGCCAGGATGTATCTTCCATATTTAAAAGAATGTTTCTTGATCTGACAAATTTCTTAATTTTCTGTTCAGATTTTCAGTAGCTAAGTGAGACTGTATGTCCACTGTTCCCACATTGTTGGCAGATTGTGTAGTTGTGTTCAAACAAGCATGGAGATAATTCAGTCTAGAGTAAGTTTCTACTCTTGATGCTGAATTTCTTGGTTTATCATGAAAACTGGATTAATGATAATCTGAAATAAATGAAAGGCAATCTACCAAGACTAGGCCTTCTACACAAGTTAATGTCTTCCAATGAATGTTTCACCTACTGAGCTACTAAAACTTAAAGCTCAAGCATACAACTCCTGGTTCATTACAATTTTTGCCTAATTTGTTCAGAAGTGAATATTAGGGTTTTGTTCCTATGATTTTCTGGCCACCCTTAGTACTAGGCAAATATTAGATTTATGCTTTTAAGAGTAACAGACATAGATTTAATATATTTTTACTAAGATATGCAACTACTGACCGCACATCTTAAGTGCTTTATTTGTAAGTAGAATGATACCATTTTGTCATACATAATACAAGATTAAACAAATATTATATTGGAAAGTCAACATTGTTAATCCAGACATTTTCCATTGTTAAATTTAAAATTTATTGTTATTAAAGTATTAGCAATTACATGATTTAACATTTAAGATATTTCTTACAAACTTATCAAGATAAGTTATACTTGTCAGTTTTGTCTATATTGGAATTGAAGTATGAACTTTCTCATACTCCTTGTTTTGGGCATTCTATGTTTGTATAAAATGTCAAAATGCTGAAAAAAATGTTCATGTACATTGGGCATTTGGGAAACATTATATTTCATTTTTTAGGTCTGATTCTAAAAATTAAAATGTTTATGAAAACCTGACTGTAGTTTTGTTAGTTTCTCGTGTATATTGTTTTGATTACATAGTTTAATGTATATCTGTTGCTGCTACATCCTCTGTTGGTACATGTGGTAATTCAGTTTCAATGAAAGTAACTTCAAGCCAAAGTGTTTTGTGTTTATATCTATGTTTACGACAACTGATGTATTTCATATTTTCTTAGGTCTCACTCCAGCAAACAGTTGATACTGCACATGAGGATATGATTGTAAGTTGTGTATTTGGATTAAACAGCTTTCTCTAGATAAGTAGTTGTTGTTGTTGTTTTTACTTAACATGTTATAAATATGAATTGAAAGAAAATATGAATAATTTAAATCTTGAACTGTAAGGGATATATATAAGAAAGGCCACTTGGCTATTGAATTTCATTCATCATCCAGAAAATAAACTATTCGTTCTATGTAAATTTTGAAACAAACTTAAGTATAACCCTTCACATCCTTTTGCCTATCCAACTAAGGCCTAACATTCACATAATTTGGAGAGAAGCTTTTGAAAGTTTAATAAAAGATGCTTTGCAAAATCATTTAGCAAAGTTTTTGAAGAATGCTTTTTAAGAAAACTATAGGTGTAGGGATAAATTGGCTCATTAGGTTGGAAAGTGGCTGGATGGAAGAAAGCACAGTTGTTATAAATGGAGTTCAGTCAAGCTGGGTTATTGTCACAAGTGGAGTACCTCGGGGCTCATTGTTAGTACTATTGCTCTTTTTGATTTGAAACAATGGTGTAGATGAAGGAATGGTCAATAAATCCCTTAAATTTGCTGTTATCAAGGTCTTGGTTTTTGCTAGCTGTGAGGATTTAGATCATTTGGAGAGTTAGGTGAATACATGGCAAACAACATTGAATTATATTAAATGAAAAGTAATGCATGTGGGTTATCTTTATTTAAGTAAGTGTAATTTTGATGGGAATAACTTTAACAGTGTTATAGAAGAAAACAATCTTTGTGTTCAAGTTGATTTGTCTTCAAAGCATTCCAAACAATGTGCTGTTGCTGGAAGGAGGGCAAATAGGATTTTAGGTTTTAATTACAGAAATATTGACTACAAGTATAAAGAGGTTATATTTCCTTTATATAGGTCACTGGTTAGGCTACATTTAGAGTATTATGTTCAGTCTTGAAGAAGAACATTGAATTGTGGGAAATGGTTAGGAAGAGAACTACTACAGTGTTATCTGAGATGCAAAGTTTGTCATATAAAAGCAAGTTATAATCTCTGAAATTGTTTTCTGTTTAATAAAAAAAGTTAGAGAAAATCTGACTGAGGTGTTTAACATTGTTAATGGAATTGATCGTGTCGATGCATCAACTTTTATATTTCAAACTTAAGGTTAGTTTGGTAGAACTATGGGACATGTGTAAATGTTTTCAGGGTAGGAGTCATCTTATTCTTCTAACAAGTTGGTTGACTTTTGGAATGGGTTCCGTTCATATGTGGTTGATGCAGTAAATTAACTGTAGTTTAAGGGAAGGTGTGGTAAATACTTGATAAGGGCTGGCTTTGCATGTTTTATTTTCATTTTAAAGTTTAGTTTAATGGATGGGATGGCCTAGATAGATCGAGAGGTCTTCTGTTGTCCTTACATTTTGTTAATTTCCTCCCCAAACGTTATTCTTGCTGGGAACAAAAACAAAGTTTGGATATTATTGATACAATATGGTCATTGCCATCTTAATTACTAGTTTATTAAGTTGATGCTGAATACCTAAAATTCCAACAGTTAATGTTCAACCTACATGTAAATGATTTATTCTTACATAAATTATAAGAAACTTGCAGTCACTTGTGTACAGTTAAGCTCAGACTATGACATAATGTTGTATTCTTAATCATGTTGTATTGATGTGTATTTGGTAGAAAAGTTGATAATGACATGCCAAAGAAATGAGTGTTTAAAGATAAATTAGGGTTTGTTTGTTTTTTCTCTTTCCACCCTGTGTGTGTGTGTATATATATAGTATACATTACTTGCCATCACACCAGCTTTCCAAAGGGCTTTTTGCAGTCACTTTATTTGAAACAATACTATTTAGTATGCATGGTTTAAGGCTACTTAGGTTTAGGAAATTATCAATGACTCTTCTTGTGCTAATATTACATTGCATGATAATACAGATGATTTGTGATCTGAAAGTAAAGTAACTTTCATTTTGCTTAATATGGTGTATGTAATTATTACCTTATAGAAGTAGAATAGTACTTCATAATTGGGTATGATGCTGTAATAATAATGTAATTTGAAAGACCTCTAATTTATATTGTGATAACTGTTGTTTTGGATATGATATTAAAAATGTGTAGTGTGTGTATAATTTTTTTTTCTTTTATGATGAACTCTTTTTGTATCGACCAGCATGATGCTCAGATGGACTACTATGGGACTCGGTTGGCAACTTGTTCATCTGATCGATCAGTGAAGATATTTGAAGTTAAGAATGGTACTCAGAAATTAATAGCTGATCTGAGAGAGTAAGTACATTTATTAGTGTAAACTGCTTCATTTGAAAAGAATAAAGTATCCCATCCCTACAAAATGTGAAGCTTGTAGGCCTAGAAAAATTTTTTTTTACTTGCATAAAGTTAATATCAGAACTGTTTAAACATTACATTAAACTACAAAATTATTTTGCATTACCAATACAAGTATGTCATCTGTAAGTATTGTTAAGATGTATGCCTAAAGTTAACTTTTGCATGTACATTTGGGACAAATTAAATAAATAATGTGGCTGAATCCTTTTTTACTTATTCAGACAGTGTGTATTTGGTTATTAAACTGCTATTAAAACCAAATTGACAGTAGCTATCATGAGAATTTGTATAATACAGGAAGTTTTTTAATCTGGTTCTGAACATATCATTAGTACGAGCACTTGTGATTTTGTTCACATACAGATTCATACAGATTAACCCTATGCATAATATTATGTTAATAAGCCAGAATATAAATTTTTAATCCTTTTTGCTTTGCTGAGATATAAACAAGAAAATCTAATCCACATGCCATGCCCCCTCCTATTACATCCTGTCTTTCAAAAAAATATCTAATTATACGACATTACTAATGGTCACATTTGTAACTAATAAAAAGACCAACACTGAATGTTATGGCTGTCAGTTTTGTTTGAGCCTTAAGTCAATTTTCTGTTGGACCTCAACTGGTGTGGACCTGAGACATTGATAAGAGAAGTTATAAATTTTAACCTATTTATAGGTTGGTTAGTTAGCCAGATACATTACAGTATTTTTCATACAATCTAATCTAGTGAGTTTTGGGTTTTCTAAAATTCATATATGAAAGCTATATGAATTACTTTGTTGTAGGGTAAAAATATAATAGGGATATGAAAGCAGACCATAAAGTGCAAGCCATCCTAAAGCTAAGTTAAGCTCTAAATTTTTATCTTTAAGTATATTTTGTATTTATTCTTGTATGTTTTTAACAAAAGTAAATAAAATTAAAAAAGTAGTTATGTTATAAAAGAAAACTATTTTTTTCCTCATGATCACTGCTTTAGGACTGCATGAGGAATGTGTGTAGTTAGATTTTACATGATGCAACTTGAAACATTGTTTACTCTAAACTCTTTGTACTCCCACTGGGTGATTTGTTGTTTATGGTAATTAGATATGGAAAGTTAAGAGATCTAAATATTTTAAAATAAATCATTGTAATTGTCTATTACAATCTAGTCTTTCTAGAAAATAGGTTGTTTTTTTTCATATTTTTGTAACTTTTACTACAGATGGTTTTGCTACAGTTAGTGTTAGGGTAGAGAAAGTAATAATGTTTTTATTGATATAATACGTATATTAACTTAAGAGGTTATGGAAACTGTAAAATATGTATTTTTATTCTTAGCTTAAATTGCCTTTTATTCAAACTGACTCAGTAAAGGCTTTATAAATTCAGACAAATCTGTAGTAAAAATAGCTTATTAAAAAGTGATTATTGTTTTAAGTACAACAGACTTCATGTTTATTAAAAGCATGTTATACTTTGTGAAGATACTCATAGTAAATTCAGAAGTATAGGTGTTGGTTCGTTGGACTGACCTATGAGCATAGGGTTAATATGAATGTTAGTTTTATTTTATGATATTATTTTTGTAAATATGCTGTATGTGTATCACTTATTACCTAAATCATTCTGCATACAGGTAAACGTGGTATGCAATTGTAAGTATTAGTCAGAGGGTATCTGTTAAGTCATTGTAAACCTTAAGTCTGTTTTCATGAATCATTCTGCATAGAGGTAAACGTGGTATGCAATTGTAAGTATTAGTCAGGGGGTATCTGTTAAGTCATTGTAAACCTTAAGTCTGTTTTTTGCTACAAACTTTAACTTAGATTTTATTTTATTTTTTTCCTTCTTCTCAAAAGCATAGATTTGATTACTGTTATTTACACTTGGTGTTGAATATTTGATTATTTATTATATAAGTTTGAGAATAAAATTCTTGAACTAAACTTTTTACTAAAATGTTTTGGAACTAGTTTCTTTCATACATGCTTTTGTTTTCAAGTTTTTAATGACCCCAAACTTTGCATTAAAAAAATTCATTTAATTAAAATAACTTTCTCACAGACATGAAGGGCCTGTCTGGCAAGTAGCCTGGGCTCACCCAATGTTCGGCAATATCCTTGCTTCTTGTTCTTATGACAGGAAAGCCATCCTCTGGAAAGATTGTGGAGGAGAATGGAAGAAAATCTATGACCATGTTAATCATGATTCTTCGGGTAGGTATAAGCTGTTTTCTAATCTATCTTTCATGTTGATGTTCTGCTTATTTGAACAGAGAATCATAGTGAATAGATTCAAATTTGTTTTTGATCTATTTAAGTACTTGTCAGAGAACATGAACTAGTAAATCTCATATTTTTTAATTTTACAAGTTATGTTTAAATTTTACATTAAAAGGGCATTGAACACATAAAATTTGCTTATTAGGTGAAGTAATTTTTAAAGTTATTGTCAGTAAAATAACCGTTATTCAAAAATTTATATTTTAATTTAGTTTCCTGTTCAAATGTTTAAAATTTTATCTGGAGAAATGTTAAAAAATACTCAATATAGTTGATTTCCAAACTGGATATTTAGTGGAAAAAAATTGTCAATAAGAACAGAATAAAATTTTTTATGCTAACTACTTTGTTTTTTTTTGTTTGTTTAAGTAAAAAATCTGCTAAAAATGGGACTTTTGGGACTTTAATTATATGAAGCTCAACTGTGTACTGCTTTTCCTATAGACAGTGTGAAAAATGGCAGGAAGATTAAGGTTTTATTGAGCTAATGTTACACCCAAGCATAGGTTGTTTCTAGCTTTGGATGTTGGGTTATTTAAATACTTTTGTGTTTTGTTAGAGCAGTTTTGAAAAGCCAACTAGAGCTACCAGAGAAGGACAGTAACAGATTCTTTTAATAGCTGTCACCATCTGCAGACTTCAAGTTTGCCTTGCTTGGGAGTTTCTATCTTTTTGATCTGCTTGTTCAGAAGAGTCCTGTTGTCACAACTTGTCTGTACTTGTAGTCGTCCTTTGGAGGTTTGAGGTCTGCCAAACCTAACTACAGTGTTAACTTGACATTTGAAGGTTGCCTGTGCTCTGTCATTTAAGCTTCTTGTGTGTTCATTTTTTCTTGTAGAAATTCTTCCTTGCATTAGCTTTTGCTGGACAGAGGAAAGTAACTTGGTTTTAGTGGGTTAAAATTGGAGATTGGTGGCATGTTTTTTTACCTTATTTCCCAAAATATGCTGCTTGTTAACAAGACGGATTTTTTAAATACTGTGTATCTTCCCATTGTCTTTCATGTACTTTGCAATAATATCTGTCTGATTCCAACCTTCCAGGGTTATAGGATATGCACATGGATCTGAAATTCCATTTTTTAAAGGAATTAGATCTCTGTTTGGGCTGCATCACTTATAGTGTGTTATGAAAGAATATTTAAAAGTAAGTTTGTGTGCGTGTGAACGTATTGAAGTTTCTCTTGTGAAATATATAGTTTAGATAGTTGTTTGCAACTCGCTTGACTTGTCCTTCATGTGTAGACTCTACTGGCATGGTGATAAATTAGAAACAATGTGATGGATTCCACATGAACAGCTGATTTCATGAATGATTGATTACAAAACCATGAGATGGTCTTGATAGTCACTGTGATGACTGAAAGTTGATTGAGAGCTGCATACATATGAAATTAAAAGAGCCACATTCCAGTTGAAATATGAAATACTGTTGCTAAGATATAGTGCAAGAGATGGTATGTTGTAAAAGGAAATGTAATGTGTACTGTAAGTGGATGATAAGGCTTAGCAAACTCTCTTACATGTACAGGTAAGAAAAATTCTAAAAAAGCTGAGTCGGGTAAACTTGAAGGTATTGAAGTCCAATTCTGGGCAACTTTGAAAATGAAGCTTCAATTACATCCAGTGATGGGAAGTTATAATCTACTTTATTTCTGTTCTCTTGTAGTTAACTCCCTCTCTTGGGCACCACATGAAGTAGGCTTAATGTTGGCTTGTGGGAGCTCAGATGGTGCTGTATCAGTATTGTCTAGTTCAGGAGATGGAACTTGGGAAACCAAGAAAATCAATAATGCTCACACAGTAAGTGTCGTACGACATTTGGTATACTATTTATTTTTAATATGTATAACCATATAAATAAAACTAAGAAAACCTTCTCACAGAAATTATCATACAATTATATTTTAATGTACAAGATTAATAAAGTAAGTCTCTGCTGTTGTGTTGTAGAGCATTGATTTGTTTGTAAGATGTTTTGGTCATTTTCCGTACTTAGTTTTGCATACAACAATTGTTCCTGATATTATATTATGCAATCTATAACAATCCATCCTAATTATGTCATGAAATCCACCATAGTAATGATGAAATTATATATACTTGTGCTTTTCTTTAAGTTTCTGGTTTGACATTTTTGACTTGTAAATAATGTAATTATTTTAAACTTGTAGATAATTCTGCTCTTCCCATCTATTACTGGTTTTCATCAACCTTTCTAGAGTTGTTGAAAGTGCATTGTTGCTCTACCTTTGTTACCTGGTCAGTGTTGTGCTGTGAACAAAATTACCTCAAAATGAGAAGTATAGATTTTTTAATCTTTTAATGAATCATTCAGCTATTTAATATGCTAAGTACCTGTAGTGTCTTTATTGAGCTATAAGCATTTGGCCACATCAGTCACAATGGCATTTAGCTACAATCTGTTTGTAAGTGAAACTTTCACAGGTAAAAATGTTTCAAGTTTTAATGCAGGCAATGTGATGCCAACATAGTAAATATTCATGTTCACTGTAAGAGGTTTAGATGTAGTAAGTAATTAAACTGCTTGGTTTATATAGATTGGCTGTAATGCTGTCAGCTGGGCTCCTGCAATAGAACCGGGATCATTGGTAGATCAAGCTCCTGGACAGAAGCCTAAACTTGTGAAGCGGTTTGTCACTGGTGGTTGTGACAACTTGGTTAAGATCTGGAGATGCATGTAAGATGTGTACTGTTTTTTTTATAATTAACTTGAATTAGTTAAAAGTAATATAAACATGTACTTACTGTAATCAATCTAATAGATTTGCCTACGAACATCAATCACAAATGTCATTTCAAATAACAGATTAATCAAGATTAGTGTATCTGATTATTCTGTTTATCCAAGTAATCTAAAGATTACCATTATGCTTTCTTTATTTTTGGTTGGTTAAAGGTTGTTTAGCTCAATTAATTATTGTCACAACTCATAAAAAATAACTAATTAATTGAAACTATTGTCTCAAATTATTATTTTCAACTATCCAAGTCTTTTGTTAGAATAATCAGTTATTTGAATGTAAGTTATTAATAAACCCAGTATTTATCGAATTCCACTAATAGGACAGCTCTAAGTGTAATTAAAGATTGGACCTTATACTTTCCCATTTTTTCACTGATTGTTTCTGGAATACTCTGTTAATACTTAAACTGCTAATTTGTGAGTAGTATTAATGTATATATGGTTTATCTAGCTGAATTTCTTGGTGTATATTACAATTATAAGGTCTCATAGCAGAATGTCTTTGAGATCTCGTGCTTTGTAGAATGTCTTTTAACATAATTGTGATGTAATTTTAAAGTGTACATACGTACAATCAAGGAATGAATCTCTATACAGAATTTGACATATTTCTCTTTGCATTTTAGATGTATATTATTATAGTTTATTTTTTTTTTTGCCAGGGAGGAAGATCAATGGATGGAAGAACAGAAACTTGAAGCCCACTCTGATTGGGTGAGAGACGTAGCTTGGGCTCCCTCTATTGGCTTACCTCGCAGTATTATAGCCAGTTGTTCGCAGGTAATTAGGTTTCTTAAAAATGTGGTATTGGGATATTATAATAACCAGTCCATTTCTAATTATTTTGCTTAAGCAACTTACAAAACAGCCTGTTATAAACTACCATTACTAGCCATGATACTTAAAATTACCTACTTGTCTATATACTGTTGACTACTGGTTGGGTCCACGTGCTGAATAACTTTTTTATACTTGTCACAATGTAAATGCTAACTAAATTCAGTGAAATGATTAGCTTTCTATGTAAAGGAAACACCAGAAGTAATTAGTGGGATTAATTGCAACATTGATGGCATTTGTGTTTAGTGTTTTGTGAAAATCATGGAACAAATGCCTTGCTTTGTTGTAGTTCATCATTGTTTAAAACTGGGAGGTCTTCTGTTGTTGTAGTTCATCATTGTTTAAAACTGGGAGGTCTTCTATTGTTGTAGTTCATCAGTGTTTAAAACTGGGAGGTCTTCTATTGTTGTAGTTCATCAGTGTTTAAAACTGGGAGGTCTTCTATTGTTGTAGTTCATCAGTGTTTAAAACTGGGAGGTCTTCTATTGTTGTAGTTCATCATTGTTTAAAACTGGGAGGTCTTCTATTGTTGTAGTTCATCATTGTTTAAAACTGGAAGGTCTTCTAAAGAAGATTAATGTTAGTTAGAGATGCTATTGTTTAGTCTGAGGCTGGTTTAGACAGTAAGTTATTCCTTATCAATAGCAATAAGTAAATGCCTGTATCAGAAGTTATCATAATGTCTTAATTATACGTGGCTGTTAACCATTTACATGACAGTCTGAGTGTTTGGATATATTTATCTTTTATTTCTTTATGACTTATAACAGGAAGTTTGAGCTGGATCTTTTAAGATGTGCTGTTTGGTTTAAGAATTAATTTTGCTGAGTATTTAACAAATCTTTTACTGCTCCTTAGAACATTTAAATGATACCACTAAAATATTTAATGAAACAAATTTATTAAGCCATCATAAAGCAGAATATACACAGTCCAAATATAATGCCAGGCCCAGACTTTTAAAAACAACAAACTTGGAACATAAACTTATCTCCATAAAATAACCTTGACTGAAGAATAGGATCTTGGTTACAGACAAAGTTAGGAAAACAAACCATAGACTGAACTTGTGAAATTCTCACAAAAATATCTATCTACTTAACAACACCTACGATTCTCTAATTATGACTCTTAAGCGAGTAATTTCGACAATTACTATTTAACTCAACGAATCCTTCAAAATAGCAAATCTGTGAATTTTTGTTACTTTGTATCATATTTTAAATGTAACTGTTTCATATTCACTCTTTCACCATGTTAGGAAAACATACATTATAAAATCAATTTAATACAAAACACTAATTCTAGTACTTTCTAAAAATGAACTTTTCTTCATCATTGGCAAACCTGATAAAGAAAGGTCCCATCTTTTAATATTGCTGTATAGATAGGGTTTTGTGTTTTTGTCTTATCTGTATATAAAATCATCTTAATTCATACAAGTTTGTGTCCATAATGCTTCTTTGAATGTCTACTTCTTTAGTTATGAAGCTAAAGTGGTAGATGTTTAAAAATTCTTAGTATTAATTACTCATATTTTGAAACTTAACTGTTTCATTTTGAGTTTGACTTTCAGATTGGTTTTTAGTTCATAAGATGTTTCAAATTGTAATTCATATAAAACAAGATTAAAGTATTAAGTTGTCTTTAGTGAGAAAGCTAATTGATCTATCTTGAGAAAAGTGGCTGTTGAGAACAGCTGTTATTAAGAAATATTGTAGATTTTTGGCTAAATCGTATGTTTTACAGACGTTACAACAGTGATATTGACCCACTTTCACACTTCCCGTGACCCTTGTAACCTTCTCGGGTACATTAGATACCCTTGACAACTACAGTATAGCCAGCATGTGTCATAAATAGCGTATACAAACTTAAGTGTATGTTCCAAAACTTGGATGATATCTTTATAAAAATTACTTTGTTTTGTTTTATATATAAATTGTCAAACTGTCATGTTCCATAGGTTGTAACATAGTTTCACTAATAAAAGATGGTGTTTTAGATTTTATAACTATTACAAATCTTTAAGGATCTGTTCACACTTCTTACTCATTCCTGAAGAACGGTCTGTTTTCCGATGGTGCTCTGGTTATGTCTTCTCCTTTTGGAATATTCTAGTTGTGAATTCTTCATATTGCACACTTACAGAATTCTAGCAATATGTCCTGACTGTTTTTAAATTTGCCACATAAAGTTTCAATGTAAACTAATTGAATTTCTACATATTTTACATAATACATGAAAGATCTTTTAAACGTTAGGACATGTAACTGTAGTTTATAATTTTGTTTCACTAAGACTGTTACAATAATCAAAACTAAACACAAGATCACTAATTAGTGAGCACTGATTTTTTTACAGTCTTCACTTGCAGAAAGCAATAGTTTCAGGAACTGTTACAGTTGTACAAATTATGTTTGTAGTGCAAGCTTTAATAAAAATGTTGTTACAGAAAGCAATACTTTTATTTAATTATTCCATTGTGTTGTTTAAGCATATGTCAGTGGTTTTATCCTTGTAATTTGGGTTGGTGTGTAGTGATTTTCTTCTTGAATAAATTGGAAAGCCTTGGATTTGTAAGCTTGTAATTAAATGTATTTCTGATTTATTATCTAGAAAAAAAGATTAAGCTATTGTTATCCGGATGACAGCTTTACAAAATTTGTGGAAACAAAAATTTTCCTAACTTCTTTGCTAAGAAAGCTTTGGCTCATAGAGCATTCTGGCAGATTAAGTTCTTGTGGCAGTTGTTTCTTTTAAAGCAAGGTCCATAAAAATTAGTATTATATTTAAATTTGTCAGTAGGAGATAATTCTTGCGTTTGTGTTATTTGATACTTGAATGTGAAAGTACAGTCTACTTTGAATGGTTTAATCTGTGCAAAGAGTATATTAACCATGATGAAGGAAAGGATGACTAACTTGAAAATGTCCTGGTTGATTTACTTTAAATTTAAAAGTAAGTGTTAATGAATTATTTCATTTCTTTAGATATCATAATTTTGTTTTGAAATCCTTGTAGAAATTTCCTTCATTTCTCCTAATTAGGAGATTCGATTTGTGTACATTATGAGTAACTTTTCACATTTGTGTTGAAATTGTTGCCCCAGGTTAAATGTTTTGTATTTGAGTGAAACAGTTTGTATAGAATTATCTTAGTGTCTGGAACCCAAAATGAATAGTATATATACACCTGGAAAAAAGTTAAGCACCCCCTGTGTTTATCAAATGAAATTATGCATTATTGGGCACAAGAAAACAAGATTATCACCGTAAAATAACAATTTTTAATTTACATATCATGACATCAAAATATGGACAGTTTTCACGCTTAAAATTATCTTTAATAAGTATTGTCAGTGAAAGCTCAAAAACGTTATTGAATTGTCAATAACTGTTGCAATGTCTGTGGAGGAGGCTCCAAAGCC